TTTTATTTTATTTTATTTTATTTTATTTTATTTTATTTTATTTTATTTTATTATTTTATTTTATTTTATTTTATTTTATTTTATTTTATTTCATTTTATTTTATATTATTTCACTTTATTTAATTTCATTTTATTTCATTTCTGTTTATTTAATTTTGTTTTGTTTTATTTGATTTTGTTTTGTTTTATGATTTTATTTTATTTTGTTTCATTTTATTTCATTTCATTTTGTTTTGGTTTATTTTATTTATTTTGTTTTGTTTTATGATTTTTTTTCATTTTATTTAACTATTTTGGTTTATTTCATTTAGTTTTGTTTTATTTTTTTTTTTAATTTTGGTTTATTTTATTATTTAATTTAATTTAATTTAATTTAATTTCATTTCATTTCACTGGGAAGATTATTTTTATTTCTGGGAAAACTGGGTGATTTGTGTAATGGATCTGGCCTGAACTCGGAATTCAGTGGAACGACTTTCCCCTTTGCTTCAATGCCCCAGAGCACTGTCTGCAATTCCTTGTGTGTTGGTAAGGGCTCCTACATTTTGACGTTATTCACCCTGGTCTGGTTCTGCGTTTTCCTATGATCCCCTTCTCAAGATTCAGCAGAAACATTCCCCCAGTTATCGCTCCGCTTGTGATAATTGGAATAATCAATAACGATGTAATTTAAGCCTTTCATGTAGCACATGTATTAGAGCAGGTTTTTAAGGGAGGTTGGATAATTTCCATCCCTGGAAGTTTTCACGACTCAGCTGGATGAAGTCCCGAGGAACTTGGGCTGACCTCGCAGTTGAGAGCTTTGATCAGGAACCTGGATTCCTGAGGTTCCCCCTTCCAACCCGACCTCCCGTAACCCTTGTGATGCACCCACTAAGTCACCATCATTTCCAGGCATTCTGCAAAGTCCGGCCACGTATTTCTGCAATTTTTCACCTGTCCTGAATTGTTTCCCATTGCCACAATGAGATCAAATTTGGAACGAGCTGCAATTCTGCGGTCACACACAGCTCCTGCATTGCTCAGATATAATTATTTTGTTAAAAAACAAAAAAAAACAACCCAAAACCAAAAACCAACAAACCATTGTGTTAGAGGTCAGGGTGCTGCAGTGGCGTGGAGGTGGCTGGATGAACCACGTCCCTGGCTATGGAAGGACTTTGGGAACAAGCTGCAGGCTTGCGTTAGCTGGCAGTGTGTGCTTTGCAGCGTACTCTACCCGTGAGCCATGCCCAGAGTTCATTGCTTTTGGCTTTCTGCCGCACAACGGCGGTACACAGAGGTTCTCTCTTTCTACCTGCCACTTCTGGCAGTCACCAATCTCAGGTTTTGCTGGCCCAGGGGCTGCATCAGGGCCACTGTGTATGGTTAACCAGCAGCGAAACAGCACCAATGTGTATTACGACATGTTGACTTTATTCCCATGTTCAGCTTTCACCGCACCCTTTTAGGCTTGATGCCACCGTTTCACTTGTTTTTCAAACCCTCTGCCTCACAGTTTCATTCAGACCCCTTGATCTCGCAGAGGAGCAGTAGCGAGACAGCTCCCTGTCTACCCTTTCCACACCGTTTATGTTATATAGCTCTGTAACCACCCTGGTAGCACTTTAGCGAGCCAAAGATCTCTTGTCTAAATCCAGGTATCACTCATGAATCCATGAGTAGATTAACCCATCTGTACTTTTTAAATTATGTTTGATAGGACAAGAGGGAATGGCCTCAAGTTGTGCCAGGGAAAGCTTAGATTATATGTCAGGAAGGATTTCTGTGCAGAAGGGGCTGTTGGGCGTTGGAATGGGCTGCCCAGGGCAGGGGGGAGTCCCCGGGATCCCTGGAGGGGTTGAAGAGTCGGGCTGAGCCAGCGCTGAGGGATCTGGGGGAGTTGGGAACGGTCAGGGGGAGGGTCATGGTTGGGCTGGAGGAGCTGCAAGGGCTTTTCCAACCCCGAGGATTCTGTGTGATCGAGAAGCCCAGAGGGCATTTTACCATAGCTGATAACTTTCTTCTAAAATCTGAAGAAACTGAAGCTTTCCTGAAAGCAAAACCAGAGCCCAGATACGTAGATAAGCATTTCCTCACCTCTGTCCGTGGGCACTTGTGACAAACCCTATTTTATCTTCTTGCTCCAAACAAAGCTGAAGAGCACCCCTTCTACTTTGCATTGTTGTAACTGAAGGGTTTTATTACGACCTTTTCAAAATACCCAGCTACTCACTCACTTGTTAGGATAGAAAAAAAAAATAAAAATTAGACATTTCCTATTTACTGTCTGGAAGTGTGTGCATGTCAGCACTTCTGCACATGAAACCAACATCAATTACATACTCGCACAACGCAGAAAGAAATACAACTTCCACAGATTTTTCATGGCATGGCGCTGCTCTTTCTCAGATGTGAGTTACTGGACTGAGACTACCCTGTCCTTGCCCTGTGCTGGGTGATAAGTAGTGCGGTCATGGCACAGAACATCACAAAATTATCACGTCAAAGAGCATTTGGGAACAAATACATCAGGAGCCAGATTATTGTGTTATATCGTCATCTTAGAGAACAACGTTAAAAATACCACTGCAGTCATGGACACAGAGTGTATGTCCACGGGTGGAGATACTGAAAATTCTTGAAGCATATTGCTGGGCTTGGGAAGGTGAGCAGAGCGAATCTGGCTGAGGGAGCGGAAGTCATGTCAACAGAAAGATGCACAGAAAAAAAACAAAACACCTTGGCTTCCAATTACAAGAGATGAAGATACAGCTTTGTAGCCCAGGAAACAGAATACTGGCATTGCTCATAATAGGCCACACTCTTTAGTGAGTTTGCAAGTCCTCAGGGCTGGGGCTTGTTGGGCTTGCTTTATCTGAACTTGTCTTGACCTGCCTTCAGCTCGGTTTTTAATTTGCTTGGCTGTAACAGAAGTTTTCCTAATTGGCCGGGTGGCTATGCCTAATTTGCTCTGCTTTTGTCTGTCTTTGTGTGGTGCAACTCTAAATTTACGTAGAAAACCTTAACAAGTAGTTGCTCTATGTAGAATGATATTATTTTTGACTGACATAATGGCAGCAGAGGGCTCAAGAGATGGAGGTGCGGGTTGTGGCATAGATGAGTGCTGGTGTGGGGTGGTAAGAGGTGTGGGCGGCTATAAGCAACCCCTCAGCTATAAGCAACTCACCAACAGCCAAAGAAATGCAGACCAAGAAGTGTACAAAATAATCTTTAGGAACAGCAAAAAGAACAAAGAGCAAATACCAAACCAACGAAAAATGCCCCCTACAAGATAAAATCCGACGTGAGGTGGAGTTGCACCTTCTGACCAAGGGAAAATATGAAAGCATTTTAGCAAATATCCATAACCAAGATGACTCCCAGCAGACCCTCGGTTGAGGAAGAAGAATCCCTTTCTGTGGAGAACTCAGGATGCAGGTGGCTCTGTACTCTAAGGCGGGAGGCAGCAGCATTAGTGGAAGAGTGAACGTAACACCAGGAAAATGGGTAGAAACTAGTCAGTCTGTGTATAACAATTTTTAGCCGTATTATTATGGATTTTTTTTTTCTGTAATAATAATGATAATAATAATAATAATAATGATTTCCTTTTTCTTTCTATATCTGTAATAATTTGATCTTCACTCTTTGTTTAAACTGTAGAGATTTCTCATAAAAAATAAATTCTTTACATGTAAGAGATGTGTTTCCTTTTTGCCCATAACAAGAATTTGAGCGTAACAAAACTATGGAGATTCCCAGCGGGGTACGGAGAGTTGGCTGGGTATAATAGAGATGCTTAAGTAAGCCTTACTCCAAGAGCTGCTTATTTGGGTGTAGTTCCCATCAATAACTCCACGGGCGACTGTCAGTCCAGCTCCTGACACTGAAGGCATCTTCGTGGTATCTGAGAATCGTGGTATCATGCTCAAGAGACCTGTTATTGTGGGGAGCAGTGGTTTTGAAAACGACTGGATATTGTGGGCAGACAGCTGAAGAAGAGCTCCTAGAGAGACATCAAAACCCTTTGGGTTGTTGCAGTGAGGGTTTTCAGTCGGATGTCACGGCTGGAAACGGCCGTTTCTTAGTGGTGGCTCTTCAAGGAGCTTGAATGAGTCATTCCGGTGGAGCGTTCTATATTACAAGTGTCCAGGGTTTGGTGAGATGGGCCCTATCTTCAGTGTCTTTCCATGTTTGTACCAAACCTGGCGCTACAAGCCAAAACAAGGAGCAAACGCTGGGAAAGAAAGTAAACTGTGACCGCTCCGCAGTCCTTGGTGGGGATTTGTCCAGCCGTGCCAAAACCACAGAGGCAGGCAGGTGGTAAATTGGGCTGAGCCCCAAAGGTGACACCTGGGAGAAAATGAGAAAGTCTCAACACCCAGAGTGATTTCGTTAGAGGTAAGCAGTGGGAATTCCTCATGCAGCTGCACTCTCCAGTCCTCCCTTTGATGAGGCGCTTGAACCAAGGAGATTTTCTGAGATTCCCACCAGCTAAAAAGCATTAGACACAGCTGACTGCAGCCAGTTCTCAG